CTTAGACCCAAGATCTTAGTGGTGTTTGGTTAAAAGTAAAACTAAAGCCACAATGCTAGCTGTTCAGTGTTTTTAGCATGTAGCTATGTGGTTGCAAGCAGTGGTATTCTGGTCTCTAAATATAGCTTTATTTTATTTTTTAAATTTAATCATTTAGGCACTTTTATAGAGCAAAAGAAGCAATAAAACTAACAATAGGACAATAATATGCAAGTGCTGTGACCCTTTCCAGTTTAGACAGTTTATGTAAACAAAAAAATCTAGCAGATATAGAATAGAAGAAAAAAAGAAAAGAGAGTGTTAGTATGGATCAAGTGTTGCTGTAAAAGCCATTTCTTGAAAGCATGGGTTGAGTTAGGCAGGTCATTCCACCGCAGGTAAAGGTCCATGAAAGTGATTTTGTGCCTCTTTAAGACGGCACCACAATGTGACATTCACTTGCAGAATTTTTTGCATCAGTGCGTTGAATTTGATGCAAGCCGTAAGTGGCAACCAGTGCAAAATTGAGTGACGTGCGTCTCTTCGGCTCGTTAAAGACATTCTTGCTACAGCATTCTGGATCAGTTGCAGAGGTCTGACAAGCTGGAAGGCCGGCCAAGAGAGCATTACAACAGTCCAGTCTGGATAGAACAAGAGCTTGGGCAAGGAGTTGTGTAGCATGCTCTGTTAGGAAGGGCTCGGTCCTCCTAATGTTGTATAAAGCAAATCTGCAGGACCGGGCAGCTCTACCAATGTGGTCTGTGAAGTTCAATTGATCATCAATTACAACTCCAAGGCTTCTGGCTCTCTTGGATGAAGCTATGAATGACAAGCCTAGATGAATGGAGAAGTTGTGGTGTAGTGTTGGGTTGACCGGGACCACAGGCAGCTGAGTCTTTGCAAGGTTTAGTTGAAGGTGCTGGTCCTTCATCCAGCTAGAAATGTCTGGCTACCGTCGTATCCTCAGGCTGGAGTGAGAGGTAGAGTTGTGTGTCAGTATAACAGTGATAGGAAAAGCCATGTTTCTGAATCACAGATCCTAGTGATGTCATGTAGATGGAGAAGAGCAGTGGTCCAAGTACTGAGCCCTGAGGAACCCCAGTAGCTACTGTAGATGTTGGGTCTTAGACACCTCACCTTTCCACGACACCCTGATGGATCTACCTGAGAGGTAAGACTCGAACCATTGGAGTGCGGTTCCTGAGATGCCCTTCGTCCCAAGGATTGACAGGAGGATCTGGTGGTTAACTGTGTCAAACGCAGCTGAGAGATTTGGAAGCCTGTCTCAGAGCTTCAATAAACCGAGAGGAGGGCAGTGTCAGTTGAGTGGCCACTTTTAAAACCAGACTGGTTGTAGTCCAGGAGATTGTTTTGTGTAACAATAAGACCCTTATGTTTTTTTGTGTGTGTGTGTGTGTTAGAGATCAACATCTTTTGTCTGTCCCGCGATCTCACTTACGATGCCCAAGGTGATCGAGCTTGTGCAGTGGCTGGCCCTACGTTGTGGAATAACCTGCCACTACATATCAGAACTGCTACTTGTCTTCATTTTTGTTTTAATTTTAATTTTTTCTATCAATTTTTTCGTTCATGTACAGCATTTTGGCCAACCAAGGTTGATTTTAAATTTGCTTTATAAATGCAAGCAAAATTCATGTGAGCAGCACAAGCAGTGCGGGACGAGTTATATACCAAGGCGTAATACTTAAATAATAAAAGTGTGTCACATTATCAGAATTGCAGCAAAATGTATCCAAAAAAGGTCCATGTCTATGGTCAATGGTGAAGCAATGTATGAAGCTCAGCTCACTTTCAAACCAAGCAGCTTTCTGTTTCTGAGACCAACCTGAACATGAACGAAATACGTGTGGGGAAATCTTTAACCCTCAAGCTAAAACTGCACAGATTCCTGTTGGAGTCCGCTCCTTAAGATTTAGGGGGTTGTTTAAATATGGAATAATAGCAAAAGTAAAAGTAAAGGCTTATTCATCATACCAAGTATGCCAACTATTATAAGTATTTATTTGCATCCACAGCAAGCGTGTGCTGCAGTTTGGGCATCTGCCACATTAAATTTGTTCTCATTGCTATAGTTGTGGTGTGGGTGTTTCTATCCTCATACAATTAGAATGATTATTTAAACTTTATAGCTATCATTATATTTATCTTTCTTGTTGTGAACACGAAATGGGAAATTCATGCTGACCGCTACAGGTAATAGATTAAAAAGAGGAAATTTCACCAGCTGATCACTGCAGAGATGACACTGACTATTCCCTTGAGGCCTAACACACACACACACACACATCTTCATCGTCACTTGTATCCTCTTGAGATCTCTGTTTATCATCCCCCTTCCTCCATGTTCCTCTTCAGCTGTTAGCCCATAAACTCCTCCTGCTCTTGTTGCCCAGATGGGGCAGATCTACCAGTT